GACAGCTTGAGAACTGACCCATAGCATGGTTCAGTGTATGTCAACTCCTAGGGAACCTAGTAGATCTGCGCTCCAGGATTTCCTAGCAACTGGATAATGCTTTAGGCACTCTCTCCTGCAGCTTCGGCATCGCCACAGAGAGGGCCAGATCTCAATGCTTTTCTATCCTCGCAAGTTCAGCGTCATCGAAAGCGACAGCGTCAGCGTTCGCCTACGTCTCCATCTACGCTCATCAAGAAAGTGCGACGGATATAGGTAGCGTGCTCGTAATTCTTTGTGTCTACCGTTTTGCTGAATGTGGCGATACATAACGTTCATTTTGAAGAGACTGATTTTGTGCATAGATTAGTTACACACCTGCTGCAAAATTTTGTTTTCAGAATCGTTGGCCTTCCATCTTAGGAAATTTGATGTGCTATCGTTGCTGTAAATAACAGTTACTCAAACTCGAGCAAATTATTCTTCCGCTTTCTACTTCCCGGCTATTAGTCAGTTACTTCAATGTGGTATTTACTCGTCGATGCTATATTTGTGATTTGCCAGCTCCCTTTTCTCTTTTTGTCTCTGTGCATCACTTTCCATCCACCATCACCATCGCAAACTTTTGCTATTATTTATTCGGGTATAGTTGTTTTCTATCCGAATAATGTTGTATTGTAAATGCAGCTGTAACTTAGGGAGCTTTGTAGAAGTCAGTAGAATGTCACGTTTGGTTCGTGAATCGCATTAGTCTTTCTTCCAAGTTCGCCTAGTTCTTTTCTTTCCATTTTGCAGCCATGAACAGTAAGTCTACTTTATTATAGTGTAAAGGATGCTCTTTGCCTTTTCGGGTAAGGTTCTTTAATTGCTACTTGATAGTTCTGATTTTAAAAGCTGACTTTAGAAGATTCCAATATTGTACGCATAAACACTGTTTCACATGTTGTACGTGTGCGTGATGGTATCAGGCCTATACTCTTTTCATCAATAACCAGCATCATTCTTAACTGTGTCTACGGTTAACCATTGAAGGTTTCGGTTGAGCGTAACTAAAAATGGTTCGTAAACTCAAACTTCATGAGAAGAAACTGTTGAAGAAGACAGATTTTATACAATGGGAAGTCGATCACCAAGGCAAGCAGACGGAGCAAATGAGGAAGTGTGTATGCTTTTCATTTTTATTTGTTAAGCAAGTGTTTGTTTCGATTTCGGAACAGTTACATATCTATAAGTAAGAATGAGTGCGTGAATAGAAGAAGAACAGAAATGCTTGCTGTCATGAGTAATGGTTAGTTTCACAACTTGTTCAGTCAACGGTGTGAATCTTCATGGAAGCAGGAACTAACAGTGAAGAGGAATATTCAGCACGTGATTAAAACATAGCGAAATGCAGGTTTCTAAATACGGGTATTGCAATCATACGACGGCCTGGTTATGGGCAAAACAAAAGGGAATTGTGTTTAGAGCAAATACTATCATGCTAGGTGCTCGAGGTCGTGATTGAGTATTTTTTTGACCAGAAAGTAGTTTTTCGAAAAAAGTCAACCGTCGGTTAGCCGATTTCAAAAATTTTGCGCTTCTTTCCCCGACCCCCCCCCCCCCCGCGCCCCAGCCCACTACAGTTGCAAATGCAGCTATACAAAACTGCGATACCAGTAGTGTAACCGAGATCTGGATCTTGCGTGATGGGTTTAGATAAGTGATAGAACAAAAGTGCTACATCGGTAAACTATTCAGCGTCACCTAAGGTCTTAGGACTGGCCTCTGTGGAACTCGATTAGTGTAGACCTCGTCTTCATTTTGAGGTCATTCATGGGTCATAAAGTGGTAATAGACAGCAATCCTCCATAGTGTATTAATTTTTTTTGCACTAAATTTGTAGGATTTATCAGGAAAGATCAAAGCTCATTTTCTCGTGATCGATTATGAGAAGGTTTGGGAAATAAAAGTTGGTTTTTCCGGAGAGCGGTGGTCGCACGCTTCAACCTGCAAGTCAGGTAAAATAAGGATATTTTTGGCAGTTGAGGAAACCTCGTACTTCAACTTCGCGCTTCAAGGGGAAGACAAGTTTACAGTTGAGTATCCCTATCCCAGTTACATTGTTTAAGTTGTAGTATTCGTAATGATGTGTTCATTGATCGGTACAGCTACTGTGTAAACAAATCCTCCGTTTTAATGAAATCTAAAGACGTAAAACAGCAATGCGCGTCCTTCTCAAATGAACCTTAACAAAGTGGATCAAAGAGTTTATTTTGTCTAGGTTATATCGTTCCATACCCAATTACTAGTACGCACACACATACGTACACACCCACGCATTGCAAACTTTTAGAGGGAAAATTAAGACCTATCAGCTTTATTTTTGAGCTCTCGGCATGCTCCCCCTTACATATTTCATTGCAGATATCACATTACTAAGCGGGAACATTATTCATTATACAACAAGCTGGCTGCTGAGGTATGCATAACTTTATATTCCAGTGCAGTATAGCTTTCATCAATCGTGTGATCAATATACTACAGTTATAGGTGCGTTCTATAGCAGAAAAACTGAAGGAGCTTCCAATGAATGAACCGTTTCGTGTCCGATGCGTTCGTGAGATGTTAAGCAAGTTGTATGCTGCTGGTGTGATTCCTACTTCTGATACGGCAGAACGATTAGGAAAAGCAAGTTTCTTCATGTATATGGCCGGTGACTTGCTGCATCAGTTACTTATAACCACAGTTAAGGCAGTGAGCGTGGCGACTCACGTGTTGCGCGATACGCTCTCGTTAATTCTGTATGACAGCACTGACATTCCGCAGTTATTGTGAAAGAAAGAGCGCTCTGCGACACGATCTTGCCCATGCTTCACTCGTGTGAGTGGTATGGTGGTGCATCAGGCCGAAATTACCTGTGCATATCTAGATATCGTAGAATCTGATACTCTGATTGGAACTTTCAAGTAGGAACTAACTTTGAAAAGAATTTCGTTTTGAACAAAACCTTCCAGCTTTTGGGATGCAACTCTATTTGTGAGCTTGGGAATCTGCTGTGAAGAATATTGCCAGAACTGCAAGCAGCCCGTAATCCTTCTCATAAAATTCGCTTTTGGATTGTTGAAGCCG